GGCGTGACCCGAGAGAGCACTCAGGAGACGTTCGCGGACACGCCCCTCGAAGGTCCAGGCGCGACCCTCTTGTTGTGCAAGCATTTCGACCGGCGCGGCGGTGATCCTCGGCAGTGGCTCCTTATGTGGCAGAGGGAGCGCAAGATAGATGGTTCGGATCGTACGTGCCACGAGATGAAGGTCCTCTTCGATGCGCTCTACTTCGCAGGGGTGTATGATCAGTTGAACGTCGGGGCCTTCGCCTCGCTGGAGACGCTCAGCCGACGGATCCAGACGATAATCGACGCATGCCAGAACCCGCAGAAGGTCACCTGGGAGCACGCGAGGCTGTGCATGGGCACTGGCACGCCGGACAACCCAGTCAGCCCGGCGCTGCAGTCGTTCACGGCGCGCCGCGCCAAGGATCGGGCCGACGTGATCGCGGCCCTCGGCCAGGGCGGCTCGCGGGGGCTCCGCGGCAGCCCGACGACCGGGGCTGAGGGCGGCGAGGCCGGCGACGCCGCTGCCGGCGGCGGAGGGCGGGGAGGGCGTGGAGGGCGCGGCGGCGGAGGGCGCGATGGCGGCGGCCGCGGCCGGCGCGGGCTCGCACCCGCCGCCGCCGAGGCTCAATGAGCAGCAGCGCCGCCGAGGGGCCTCGCCCCACCCTCGGCGGTCAGACAGGGGGCGCTGGGGGTCCTTCCCCTGGTGGCCGCCCTACGAGGGAATTCTTCCCTCTGCCTGCTCCTGCGGCGCCGGCGGGCCCAGCCGCTTCGACTCGTTCGGCAAAGAAGGCCTGGGGCCGCGCCAAGCGGCGCACAGAGATGGTGCAGGAGGCGGTCCACGGACTGAACTGGCTCGCCGGCGACGATACCTGGGATCCTGCTCGGGGGCCGGCCGCGGCAGGTATTTTGAAGCCCGAGGTGTTGGCCCGCGTGGTGGGCCTGGTCGACGACTGGGAGCCCATGCCGGAGGCCCTCTCGGGGCGGGGGGCCCTTCGCGACCTCCTGCGCGGCCGGTCCCTGTCCTGTGCGAGCTGGAGACCGGCTCCGCGAACCTCGCGGCCTTCAACGCTGGCCTGGTGTCCTTGCCCGACGGCGTCGCGGGGCCTCCCCTGATAGAGTCGCTCTTGGACGCCGAGGTCTCTCGGCGCATGGAGGCCCATCGTGAGCTGATGCTGCGACCCTCGACTGAGTTGGAGAATGTCGAGTCTGAGGCGCGAGAGATCGCACCTTGCACTGACAGGGCGCTGCTTTGCAACAAAAAGGCGTACGATGACTTCGTCAAGAGGCTCTGGGACCTCGGCGTGCTCGACGTGACTCTCCAGCCGCGGGGGAAGATCGGGATCTTTTTCGTTTGGAAGAGCGGCGAGACGCGCCTTAGGCTGATCATAGACGCTCGGAGGAGAAACTGCTGGTTCCGCACCCCTCCAGGGGCCAGGCTGCGCACCTCGGGGGCCTTCGCTAACGTTGAGATCGGCGACGGCGACGCGGCGAGCCTGGAGGGCCTCAGGCTGCACTTGGGCATGGCGGATGTGAAGGACTGCTTCCGCTGCCTCAAGGCCCCTGCCTGGCTCAGGCCCTTCTTCGCCTGGCAGGAGGTGCCTGCGCGGGTGCTGGGGCTGAGCGAGTTGGGCGGCGTCGGGCTCAGGCCCACCGGCGCGGCGTGGCCCGCCTCGGCCTCCACGTGCGTGGGCTTCGCGTGGTCGTTGTTCTTCGCCCAGAAGGCCGATGAACGGCTGGCGTTTGTCGCGCCCGGCCTGCGCGGGCCTGAGCTTCTGCGTGGTCGGTCGCCTCCGCTGGCGCTGTCCGAGGGTCGCCCTCGGCGCTGCGTGTGCGTGGACAACCTGGGCGCCGTCTCCGCCGACCTGGGCGTCGCCGAGCGCGCCGTCCGGGGGTGGGGGGCGGACTTCGCCGCCCGCGGGCTGGAGCTGCACGGCGGCGAGGTGCTGAGCAGGGGCATCCGCGCCCTCGGCTGCCGGCTGGGCGGCCGCCGGCTGAGGGCGGCCACCGCTCCAGAGCGATTTTGGAAGGTCTCTGTTGGGAGCAATGAAATTCTTCGTCGAGGCAAGTGTTCAGGTTGGGCCCTCGAGGTTGGCTTGGCCACGCCACCTTCTTCAGTCTCATCCAGAGAGGCCTCTTGTCAGTTTTCCACACCTGCCATCGATTCTGTCGCGCTCATTATACCGATGTCGCTCCCCTGTGGCCCTCAGTGCTTGATGAGATCCGAGCTTGGAAGGGTCTGATGGTCTTCTTGGTTCAGGACTGGTGGCGGTGCCGGGGCAAGCTCGTGACCGAGAGTGACGCCAGTGAGCAGGGCTACGGAGTGTGCGTGTCTTTCTGGCCTCAGGCGCGGGTGTCCTCGGTTGGCCGCGTTTCGGAGAGGGGCAGGCATCAGCTCGCGGGCCACGGCGCCCGTGAGTCGGCCCTCAGCGCGGCCGGGCTGGTCCAGGACCCTCGGTCTGGCGTCTGGGAATCACAGGGTGCTACGTGTGCGGCCGATTTTTCTGTGGCGCCCGATTTTCCCGAGGTTCCGGCTGAGCTTCTCGACAAAGGCCTCTGGGCTCTTTGTGTTTGGGGCAAGTGGAGCTTCCCCGAGGGCATCCTGATTCTCGAGGCTCGAGCCTTGGGTCTGGGGGTCCGTCGTTTTGCTTTGAACTCCCCTAGGTGTCACTGCAGGGCCCTCATGCTGAGTGACAACATGGGCATGCTTTGGCTTTCGCGCGGCCCCGCTCACGCGAATTCCGTCTCCTCATTCATATGCGTCGGGCCGTGGCTTACAGCCTGTCTCGTAATTCCCTGCCTGGGCTCTGCCTAGAAAGGGTTCTTACTCGCTTGGCTCGAAGGGGCCGGGCAGTGCAAACCGCTCCAGGCGGTTCCCCCAGTCCCTTGGGGGCCCAGCAAAAGCAACAGCAAATGTGCAAGCAAACGCGCGGTTCCCCCAGTTGCGCTCCCTGGGTGCCAAGCAAAAGCAAAAACAAAGGCGAAAGTGAAGACAAAAGCGAAGGCAAAGCAAACTCAGAGCATATCAGAGCATCGCATAGCATAGCATAGCGCAGCATAGCATAGCGCAGCATATCCTATCATATCATAGCATAGCCTAGCCTGGCCTAGCCCAGCCCAGCATAGCATTGCGCAGCATAGCATCGCATAGCACAGCATAGCAGGGCAGAGCGTACCAGAGCATAGCATAGCATAGCATAGCGCAGCACAGCATCCACTATTGGTGCTGCTGTACAGTTTCGTAGGAACGTGCGGTGTAGCAAGTGTTGTACAAACTTGCTTAATGCCAAGTCGTGCGGTGTAGGCCGGATCCGGGGCATTCTCAAGCACACCCGGTGAGCGAATGCAAACACATGTGTGCGTGTGTCTGTGCGCAGGCAAAGCAAAAACAAAACCAAACAACATCAACAACAAAAGCAAAGCAAAAGCAGGAAAAGCAAAAGCAAAAGCAAAGGCAAAGGCAAATCAGCAAAAGCAAAGGCAAGAGCAAGAGCAAAGGCAATGCAAATCAAAGGCGAAACCAATGCGAATGTGTAGATGTAGATGTAGATGTAGGTGTACGTGTAGATGTGGATGTAGGTGTAGATGTAGATCTAGATGTAGATGTAGGTGTAGATGTAGGTGCAGATGTAGATGTAGATGTGGGTCTCGCTGTTGATGTAAATGTAGATGTAGATGCAGGTGTAGATGTAGATGTAGCTGTAGGTGTAGATGTAGATGTAGGTCTAGAGTGTAGATATATATGTAGATGTAAAGAACTCCCCATCGCCCCGCCCTCATCTCCGTGCCTGCTTGCTTTTGCTGCTGTCTCGGCGACTTGCTGCCTGCTTCTGCTGCTGCTTCATTTGCGGCGCGGCGTCGGCGGTTCTGGCGCTACTACTACTACTACTACTACTACTACTACTACTACTACTACTACTACTACTACTACGACTACTACTAGTACTACTAGTACTACTACCGCTACTGCTACAACTACGACGATGAGGAGAAGGTGGAGGACGGCGTTTACCGCTCCTACTAATGTTGCTTTCCTAGAGGCTCCAACTCCTAGGTGGGGTCGCGCTGGGATAATGTAGCTTGCTATTTCAGGTGGATCCCGAGTGAATTGAATTCAGCGGGCGAGCCCTCGCGTCGACGCGACCTCGATTTTCCGAAGAGGCCGACTGCCTGTTGCTCTCACCCTGCTCTTCCGTACTCAGCTTGGCTCAAACCTGATCTCTCGTATGCCGACTCCTCGGGACTCGCCGGGCCCGCGCCTCGATTCGGCAGACGTCGCGCGATGGGCCGGGTCCGAAGCGCCGGCGCGGAGTGCGGCTCACGGGGCAGCCCCCCGGGGGCGGGCTGCGAGGGCGCTGGCTCCAGCGCGCGCCGCGGGCGGCGGCCCGCCTGCGCCCTGCGATCCGCAGCCTGCTGGAGTGCATGCCGGCGGAAGAGCCGGCAGCGCAGGGGCAGGCCCGCGCCGGCTCGAGCGGCAGCTCCTCGTCCGAGCCCAAGAACGACGCCGTCGGCGGAAGGACGCGGGGGCTGGTCAGGAGGTCGCGGCGGCGGCTGGCGAAGTTCCTGGGGGCGGCGCTGGGCTTCGAGAGGAAGCGCTCAGCCTGCTGGAGGCCAAGGCGGTGTCGGACAATGTTTGGCGCCATTACTCGAGCCACCTCCAGGACTTCGAGCAATTCGCCGAGGAGCTCGACCCAGCGCTCGTGGACGACGACGACGCGGACGCCTGGCTCGTGAAGTTCTCCCTCTCGAGCTCCCTTGGCGGCTGGCAGGCGGACTACGGGGAGAAGGTGCTAGCTTCCTTTGCGGACCGCCACCCGGCCTTCAGCAAGGCTGGGAAGTGGAGGCTGCCGCGGGCCTGGCGGTGCCTCCGTGGCTGGCGCCGCCTGGCGCCCGGCCGCTCGAGGCGGCCCCTGCCCCGGGCGGCGTTGAAGGCGATCGCCGCCGACCTGTCTGCGGGGGCGCAAGCTGGCGGCCGTGGCAGCACTGCTGGGCGTCGGGGCCTACTTGCGGCCGCGCGAGCCGATGGGGGTCCAGCCCGAGGACCTGGCCCCGCCGACCCGAGATGAGTCCGGGCACTGGTCGCTGATCATCTGTCCTCAGACGAGGGGCGTCGCCGCCAAGACGGGGGCGATGGGCGACAGCGTGGTGCTGGACTGCAAGTGGCAGCAGTGGATGACGCCTCTGTGGGCGGCGCTTGCGGGCCCCCCCCGCGGGAAGCCAGTCTGGACCTTCGCGTGCCCGGAGCTGACGAACCAGTTCACAGAGACGTGCAGCCAGCTCGGCGCCCCCGCGGTGCCCTACATGATGAGGCGCAGCGGTCCCAGCATCGACAGGGCGCTGCAGTTCCGTCCTCTCGACGAGGTGCGCAAGCGGGGGCGCTGGGCGAGCCGCAAGTCGGTCGTGCGGTACGAGAAGGCAGCGAGGCTGAGCAAGGCGTGGCACGACCTCCCGCTGGCCAGCCAGAGGCGGTGCGAGGCGCTCGACGCGCGCCTCGAGGAGCTGCTGCTGCGGGGCGCCGGCTGCGGTGCCCGCAGCACGGCGCGCCGTAGAAGGGGCCAGTACGTGGGGGACTTCTTCGCCGGCGAGGGCGGAGTCGCCCGCGCCGGCCGTCGCCTGGGCGTGCCCGTTCGAACCTTGGAGGTCCGAACCAACACCCGTGAGGCCTCTGACCCACAGGTGACCTGACGGGCCCGCCCGTGCTCCGTTGTTTTCGCCAAGGTGCCAGCGCGGGCAAGCTTCTGGCCGCGATGTTTGCGCCCCCGTGCCAGACGTTCTCGGTGGCCAGAGACCGCGCGGCGGTGATAAGGACGCCCGAGTTTCTTTGGGGAGTGCCCTGGTGCAGTACCCGTGATGATATAAAGATGCCCAGGGCAATGCCTGCCTAACCTTTTGCCTCAACCTTATAAGATGCATGCACGCCAGAAAGATACCATGGATTCTCGAGAACCCAAATTCGTCCAAGATGTGGCAAATCCCTCAGGTGCAGGCCCTGATGTCCTTGGAAGCGGTCGAAACCGTAGCGTGCGACTTTTGCCAGTTTGGGACCCCTTGGAGAAAGCGAGCTATATTCATATGTGGCAGGACCCCCAAAACTGATCTCTTGGACCTCCGACGTGTGTGCACAGGCAAGCACGGCTTTTGCAGTGCCACTGGAGGTAAGCGCCACCAGTTAGAAGGATCCGCGATGACACGTAGGGCCCAGCCATATCCTCAGAAGTTGTGCCGGTCGTTAGTTCACTCCTTGTTGCATAGGGTTCGGAATACTCAGATAAACTATTCCGACCTCGCTCTCGCGACCCGCCAACCCTCGGCGTCGCCTGCCCCAGCTAACCTTCCTTAGTTCGAGAACTTCACCTTCTTGGGCGTTTTCGGGCCTTTTTACGGCTCGGTCCAGGGGTGCTGGCCCTATCCCTTTGGCGGCTGGGTCGCTGCCGCCAAGGCGCGCGTGGTTTCTACGAGACGTATGCTATCCGCTGAACAAGAAACCCCAATGATAGAGGGGTGCGTGCACATAACTATTTTTGGGGGTTCGTGAAAATCGACGTGCTTTGAACGAGGTTCGTCCGCAACATCTCCTTCTCAAGTCTGCTGCTTCGGCCCGCCCCCCCACTCCAGGACTTTTTAAGGCTCGGTCCAGGGGTGCTGGCCCAATCTCTTTGGCGCCTGGGTCGCCGCCGCCGAGACTCGCGTGGTTTCTACGAGACGTATGTTATCCGCTGGAAGCCCCAAGGGTAGATGCATATATCATATATCCGTTAATTTCTCAGACATGCATGCACGTACATTTTTTAGCATGGTCGAGGAACTGCGCTCGTATATATTATACGAGGGCGAAGAATTCGACGATGACGGTGATGATGACGGTGGTGATGATGACGATGGCGATGCTGGTGGATTATGTTAAAGATAGCAGTGGTGATGCTGGTGATGATGATGCTTACGATGGTGCTGATGAGGATTCGGAGGAAGTGCTTGCGAGCACGCTCAGAAAGTGAGATGTCCATAATTTGTTTACAACTCGGAAACCACTTGGATTCTGTGCGTTTTGGGATGTCCTTGTTGTGCAATTCTTACAAAACTGTGGGTTCTGGAAAAAATCCGACGTGCGCGCGGAGACGCGCGCATGCGGCCCGTATGGTATTTTTGGCGGTTGGCGGGCGCGCGATGGTTGCCAACTGATTCCGGCAGCCGTGCGCACGCGCGGACTGTCATGGTTTCATTTGACAGAACGACTGAAGACCATTGATTTTCCCATGATTCAGCGAGTGCGCCCGCGCGCAAACCTCGTCCCAGTTCGTTACTTTTCACGCGGGTGTTCTCTCTCAGGCCAGGTTTCACCTCTTGAGTTTGTCTCCTCGCAGGTCGGTTCGTGAGTTGCACCCGGTTTTGCTTGGCGACCCTTTGAATTGAATGGCAGTTGGGGGTGTGCAGTGCTGCCATCATCATAGCTTACAACATTTTACTGAAACAACGAAGGGTGTAAGCTAGTTTTTGAGCAGCTGTGTCTTTGTGTGGTAGACCAAAGTTGGTTTCGACAGAAGCTTGATATACGCGCGGACGGCGCTCGCGTGTGCCCCGCTTTGCAGTTGTTGCATGCATGTCATGCATGTCAGATGTTTGACACGTGTGAAGGGCTGCTTGTTACTGGGGCTGGATGGCATGCTGTTGTATCTTAATCGTGCGTAATAAATATGCAACCGTGGTGTAGCGATGAATTCAGGCCTCGGCATGGGGGTTGCGTCCGATTCTTTCTTCAGACAAGGAACATGCGGGGTGCAATTTATGCGATGCCAGCTATGTGCTGCAATCTATGTGGAGCGCTATGTGGTGCACCCTCTTCTGGTCCAGTCTTATGTAGCGCAATCTAGGTCGCGCAACATACGGGGTGCAAGTTACGGGATGCAATCTATGTGGTGGAAGCTGCGTGTGCGTCCGGAGACGCCTGCCATGGCGCCAGGCGGCCGCCAGGTGGCCACGGGCGGCCGCCGCGAATACCGGGAACACCCACCCATGGCACGGGGTGGCCACAAGTTTGCCACGGGCGGGCACCCCGCGAAAACTTGGCCCACCCACCCATTTACTTCACAGCTAAGTCAGGCCGCCTTAATGCAAACACTACTTGGGGAAATAGCCAGACTCCTGCGCGAAACAGCGCGTGTTCACAATCCGTAATGCAGCCTGACGCAGCAGCGAAGCACAGCGACGTAGCACTGCCACTGTCAAAACTGCCAGCAGATCATGCAACCAGTACGTACTTCAATTTATAACGACCCGAGGTCATGACTCGATGCGAATTGTGTAGCTCGAAACAGCACATACCAAACATCATGTTCCAACCACAGCGTACGCGGACCGAACAGCAGCATCCATCAGCACACTGACCACCACAACAAGGACCGGCGACGATGAGCACGAGACTAAAGCACAATGATGGACAACACGATCAATACAGCAGTGCCAGCACAATCACGAGCAACACGAAAGCCACAATGTGGATGACCCGCGCAAGCGGAGCACGTTTGCCGAGTAAAGCAGTGGCATACAGAAAAATACGGCACATGAAGCGCAATGGTACATATCACGGGTTTGCAGAGCAGTCGAGATGCATTCAACATGGTTTGAGCAGGCGAAGCCACTGTAGAGGAGTGCCAGCGAGCGAGCGGAGCAAAACCAACGTGCAGGGACATCCCCATTGCTAGCTTCTTCTTCTCTTCTTCTTCTTCTGAGGATGAGGAGGAGAGCTGTAGAAACAGATCTCCCCGCGGGCTCTGCGGGCCCCGATAATCGTGCCGCGAAAGAGGAGTCCTCTCCTGTTCCACTCGATTAGTGCCATATTGCTATGTTTCCTGATGGTTGGCTGTACTTGGGCGTGCCAGCAGGGTGGGGATCTCGCTAACCCTGTCGGTCGGCTCCCCTTGGTGGCCGCAGGCGCCGTCGGAAGATGTGCGTCTGGTACGTCTTCAGAATGACGAGTCTGGATACGAACGTGGCATCCGACGACAGAACGTGGTGGAACGCGAAGGCGGCCACCGAACTGTCTCAACTCTGCCGGCCTCGAAGAAGGCTGCGGATGTTTCGCCGCGGTCCAGGTTTCAAGCAATGATGAATGTTTACTCCTGCCCTTGGGCACCTCCTTCCTTGCCACGTCCCCCTTCTCTTCCCCTCATCAATCTCGAGGCGTAGAGAGAAGATCTGGGTGGCAAGCGTATGCTCAGCTTCTGTGGCTCCGCGCAGGTGCAAGAAGATATACCTGCTACGCTGTGAAGACCCTGGAGACGTTCCGCCAGGTCGTTGTGAAGGACCTCGAGTCGGAGACCTTGCTGAAGAGCAAGGTCCTGGCCACCGTCTCGATCTCAGAGGATCCCTCACAGGATGCTAACCTCGGTGCGCTAGAATCTGGCCAGGGCACAGAACAAGCTGGGCGGCAATTGTCGAATCCGAAGGACGATGCTGTGCGGCAGGTGTCGAACTCGACGATGCCCGACGACGCGCGCATGGAGCCTGTTCAGCAGCTCGACGACGCTCGCGGAGAGTTCCAGCAGGTCGACGAACGGGTAAACCGGTCCCGCCCCAGCCCTCCTCTTCTCCTTCCCTGTCCACACTCTTCTGTGCGGGGGGGAGCCAGGGATCGAGTCGGGGATCGACTGCAGATTTTTTTTGTCCCAGAGTTAGTTTTCTCGTCGAGTCCATGACAAATGCGTCGAATGTTCGTAGGTTTACGAACAGGCCACGTATCTTTCCATGGACTCGGCGAGGTCAACAATTTTTGGGCAAATCAGTTCTGTTGTCGATCCCCTGCTCGAGAGGGCGGGGGGGGGTCTCTGCCAGGTGCAGTCGGCGCAGACGCCGATCAGCGCTGGGAGTGGTGGCGCGTCGAAGGTGACGCTGGTGCTGCCGTCGGCGTCATCGCGGGCCCGCACACTCGCGAGCCCTGCGAGGCTGGCTCGGAAGGTCGCCCAGAAGCGCGGGCGGGGTCGAGCGGCCTTGGTGCCGCCTCGATTCTTCCAGGTCCAGGGCAGCTCGATCTGCGGCGTCGCGTTCGCACATGCCAAGCAGGGCCGCAAGAACATGCTGCGAGAGACACTGGTAGGCGCCGTCCACTTCGAGGGCCGCTTGTGTGAAGAATTGTTGCGCGTGACTTCAGACGGCCTGGTCTATTGCTTCACGCCTTATGACTGCGACTCCTCGCGTGTCCAATTCCACGTCGTCGAGATACTGTGCACAGAGAGCGTGGAGGAGTTGATGCTGGGCCGCTTCTACGTCTGGAAGGTGCACACGGTGCTTCGCGTATTTGAGTTCTGCAGCCCATCAGAGGAGCACAGGCAGGAGTGGCTTGACTGTCTCGATGCCGAGCGGAAGCGGCTTGCGGCAACCGATGGGCTCCTCCCTCGGAGGGGGTCAGATCATGGAACCGCGCAGGCTATTGTCAAACAGCTTAACAAGAGCTTTAATGATACAAAGGGGTACGTTAGCAAAACCAGCCGCTCCATGGCCCGGGAGCCAAGCGAGATCGTAAAAGAGTCACCGACTCCTAGAACAGTTTCTGACAGCTTGCTCTCATCCAAGGAGTCATTCCCAAGTGACATCACGGCCTTCCTTACTGACTCCACACGGGCACGGCGGTGGAGGCCAAAGCGTCGTCTGGTTCTGAATGACCGCATTCTCATCTCAAGTAATATGCCGCCGCCCCCACCGGGCATTGTGGAAGGCATGCTGGAGTCGGTTCTGAGCCTTCCGGCCAAGCCCACCATCGACGATCTGATCACATTCCAGGATTGCACCTCCATGTTAAAGGCCGTCGACTTTGTGGGTTGGAGTCACTCCGAGGCACTGGCTTTCTGGATGAATGTCTATCACTGTCTCCTGCTACACGGACGTGCCATTCTCGGCACCCCGAAGTCAAAGGCCGAGCAGTCGCGCTTCCACACACGGGTCAGCTACATGATTGGCCCCTACGCTCTCAGTCTGTCCGAGATCGAGAGGATCATGCTGCGAGTGCCAAGGCCAGATCCGAAGGTGGATTTTGCTCGAGACAAGGCAAAGCAGCGCGCACGACAGATGCTCGGATTCTGCGGCATGTGCCGCCGAAGTGGAAGAGCCACCACGCCAGGGGCAGCAGGCGAGAGTGCCCGCAACGACGACGACGATGACGACATGGATCCAGATGATCGCCCGTCGCCACGCGGCGGTGGCGGTGCCGGTGGCGTACTGTTCAACCGGGCTTGCATGCCGATGCCAACCGTCAAGCTTCCAAAGTTTCATGTCCGCCAGGAATCCACAGCCTGCCTCTTCCTCGGGAGGATACCAGAGCGCCTCGAGGCCCCGAAGCTAGACCTGAAGGTGATCTTGTGCCTGAACCGCGGGCATCTGAGCTGCCCCAAAGCAGTCCCGGTCTTCCACGCGTCTCGGCTGGCGAGGGAGCTCGACGACGTCGCAAAAGCCTTTGTCGCCGAGTTCGCGAAGATAGAAGAGACCGCCGATGGCCAGCCTGTCAGGTTGACGCTGCCGCAGTTCATTGGAGGTATCAAGAAGGAGTTCCAGTCAGAAAGTCAGGATGCCCTACTGAAGTTCTTGTGGCCAATGGTGCCTCGCGATGGCCAGGGGACGCCACCGCCGGCTGGCGTCCCGGTGAAGTTTATGCGCCGCGACGAAGGGCCTCGCCCGCGCGTCGATTTCACGAGGGGGGCTCAGGGAACCCTGATCCGCCGATCAGGGCTCGATCAGGTCGCTGATCTTCAGGAGGGGAAACATGGCACAGACACAAACAATGGTCGATTCCTAGGAACAGATGGAAAAATATGGTAGATGAGGGGGGGAGACGAAAATCCAGAAAAGATTCAGCAATAGAGGGGATCCTGGGACTTGTTTGTATTTATTTGTGTCTCCCTGGGCCCCTTTAGATCTGGTAGATGTTTCCATCGATCAGGCCCTCGATCGCCTGTGAGCTCCACGCTTTGGGACGGGTTCGGGTGCCCCGATCAGGACCGGAATCAGTCTGCGTGTTGGTCTGGCCCATGTGTGTGCCTCCAGCCCTTCCCACTCCCCCTCTTCTCCCCCCTCCTCCCCCCTCCCCCCTGCCCCCCCTTCCGTCTCCTTCCCTTCCTCTCCCTCCCCTACCTACCCACCGCCTCCTGCAGGCTAGACACAAACATGTGTGAAGCACGTGGCCGCTCGCTCGGGAGGTTTTATGGGGCTGGCCCGTTCGCCGCGATGCCAGGAGCTGGTGCAGACCCCGCAGCAGCATCAGATGTGACCGAACCCATTCGATGAGCGAGTGGCCGACATCTCTATATATATATATATATGTATATATATGTATGAATATTATCCCTGGGGGGCAGGCCCGGGGCCCACAAACAGCTGCCCCGACCCCCCATGGCAGGACCGGGCGGCCGGGGAGGTCCAAAATAGTCCAGGGGGGCCTCCAGAGGCTCCCCAGACGGCCCAAGCGGGCCCCGAGTCGCCGAAAGACCGCTCGCGGACGCCCAAGATAGGCCCAAGACGGCCCGAGAGGCCCCCCCAAGGGACTCCACGACGCTTCAAGACGCCTTCTCAGAGCGCTTCAAGTGGCCGAAATCGTCAATTTTACAAAGGTTTTGGATAGGTTTGGGCCTTCCAGCCTTTTCGGCTGTCCGACGTTCCAAGACGGCGCAATAGGCCCCCAAGAGCGCCCCAAGAGGGCCCCAGACGGCCCCAGAGGCACCCAAGACAGCCCAAGAGAGCCCCAAGACGGTCCCAAGATGCGCCCAAGAGGGGGACCACGACTCCAAAATTCGACCTTCCCGCTTGAAGAGTGCCTGAGGAGTCCCCAAGGAGCCCCCAAGAGACCCCAGGAGGCCCCCGAGAGGCACCCAGGAGGCCCAAACGAGGCCTCAAGAGGCCACAAAACAGCCCCGAGGAGGCCCCACAACGGTCCCAAAACGGCTGTCGAGAAGCTGCGAAATTGCCTTCACGACGTCCCCGACAGGCCATTCTGGCACACCCCTCACACGTTTCGTGGCCCCATAGGGAGCTCCACCCAACGCTCCAGTGGCTGCGCTCGCATGCGGTTCCACCCCGCATTTCGGCACACCCCTCACACGCTTCGTGGGTGGCTCCATGGGGAGCTCCACCGAACGCCCCAGCGGCTGCGCTCGCATGTGGTTCCACCCCCCATTCTGGCACACCCATCACACGTTTCGTGGCCCCATAGGGAGCTCCACCGAAGGCCCCAGTGGCTGCGCTCGCATGCGGTTCCACCCCCTTTTTTTCGGCACGCCCTTCACACGTCTCGTGGGCCCATAGGGAGCTCCACCGAACGCCGCAGTGGCTGCGCTCGCATGCGGTTCCACCCCCCATTTCGGCACACCCCTCACACGTTTCGTGGCTCCATAGGGAGCTCCACCGAAGGCCCCAGTGGCTGCGCTGGCATGCGGTTCCACACCCCATTCTGGCACACCCCTCGCACGTTTCGTGGCCCCATAGGGGGCTCCACCAAAGGTCCCAGTGGCACTGCCCGCTTGCGTCCGCCACCACCCAGCACAGCCCTTGTTCCCTGCGCTTCACCCACCCAGAACAGCGCTTCGTAGCCCTATAGGGAGCTCCACCAACGGTCCCAGCGGCACCGCCCGCATGCGTCCGCCACCACCCTGCGCAGCCCGTTGCTCCCTGCGTGCGTTTCACCCACCCAGTACAGCGTTTCGTGGCCCCATAGGGAGCTCCACCGAAGGTCCCAGTGGCACCGCTCGCATGCGTCCGCCACCACGCAGCACAGCCCTTGCTGACCGCGTCTCACCCACCCAGTACAGCGTTTCGTGGCCCCATAGGGAGCTCCACCGAAGGTCCCAGTGGCACCGCCCGCATGCGCCCGCCACCACCCAGCACAATTGCGGCATTCACAACTGCATATGGTTGGGTCCTTCGCCAGGCTAATTTTAGATCTCACCGCAGATCCTCATCAATATCTTCACACATCTCGTCCGATCTTCCTCCAGATCTTCCTTCCCATGAATCCCCATATCTTCTTTTAGATCTTCCTCTATGCCTCTTCTATTCTCTGTGAGTAAGCTCCTGCTGTCTCCGCAGCTTCTCTGCCCAAGTGCCCCCCGTCGGCCGCGCGTGCGGGCGCCTTATGCAGGCGGTCGCACAAGCGGCTCTCCAGGGCGCTGGGGAGATTTTCTTCAGGGGGCTGCGGGCCGCGCTCTACGAGCGGCTCGTGGCTGCCCCCCTCTCTGTGCTTCAGGACCAGGGGCCTCCATCGCCTGCCTGGTCCATCCAGCAGGCGGACTCGTCCGAGGGTGAGGGGGCCTCCTGCCCTCTCCCTTCGGCGGGTTCCACCTGCCCCACCGTCTGCCTCGGGCTGGCGGTGGACCTGAGCGGCGGGGTCTCTCCCTGGCTGCTCAGCACGGTCGCCGCCCTCCTCTGGGTGACGGCCGCCTGCAGCGCCTGCGCGGGCTGCTGCCTCGGGCTGCTGGGCCCGTACGTGTGGCGGAGGCTCTGGCCCTCCGCCTGGCCGCGCGGCGCGGTTTCTGCTTCACCTGAGCAGGACCGCCGTGCGGCGCGAGCGCTGGCCTACGGGGCTCCGCCTCGACCTCAAGCGCTCGAGCGGGCAGACGCCCAGCGTGCGGGCGGCGGCGTCCACGGCGGCGCCCACTGATGGCGGAGCTGCCACCAGTTGGCGGAGGGCCCCTTTGGCCCGAGCTCTACCCTTTCGCTGCGCCCACGGCGCGCGACTACGCACGATGGCGCCTAGACGACGGCGACACCAGCTGGGCGGCTATCCCCCTCGCCTCTCGAGAAGGGGGCATCCTGCTGGCCCTGCCTGGTGCCTTTCGCTCTACAGCGGAGCTCGAGGCTGCCGAGGCGGATGGCTTTGCTGGGATGATAGGCCCCTTCCAGCTAGTGGACGTCCAGCTCCAGGGGGCCGCTTCACGGCCGCTCGCCACTACCGCATCCGTCCTCGTTATAGATATCGAGGTTGCCGAGCTCGAGCTCGAGTCGCTGTACCCTCTAGAGGTCGGCGACGACGCAGGCATCGTTCCCTTCGCCGAGGTGCGCAGCCGCGTCTATTGGCCGCATCCTTCGGGGGTTCGGGTGCTTCGCGAGGGCTACGCTCGTTTGCACGGCGCCCCGCCTACCGCAGGGGAAGAGCCTCTCCCAGGGGCCGATCGGGCTACCCCCTACCACTCTGCCGACGAGATGGAGGAGCCCGAGGGGTTCGCGGCCGACGGGGAAGCCGACCGCGCGGCCCCAAGTGCGCGAGCCCCCGCGGTCGCTGGAGCGCCGCGCGGCCCGCCCGCCAAGCGCGCTGGCGCCGCCGCGCCGCCACGGGTCGCGGGTCCTGCTCCGATTGCTCCTGGTGCTCCTGCGGCGTCTCTGGACGACGGGGCTCCCATGGCCCGCGCCGAGGTAGCTGCCGAAATGCGCGCCTTGCTTGCAGCCCACGCGGCCTCCACGATGGTCGGCGGACCCGAACCGCTGGGCCCCGCTCCGGCTGCCCGGAGCGCTCGGCCCGAGGTGCCTCAGCTTTTCAGCGACGAGGCGGCGCGCCTCGGGCTGGATCCTGCGGGGATCGAGGCCGTCTTGTCCCACGCGCCCGTGGCCCCACATCGGGTCTCCGCGCGCCCCAAGGGACCCACCTCCGCGCTGGTCTCGGCGTGGGAGAAGGCGCGCTCTCTTGCTGTCCCTCGGGCCCCTTCGTCCGCTTCCGGACCGATGGGCCCCCCGCCGCCGCCTGGGCTAGCCCATCCCGCTGCGGTCGACGGCTTTGCCGAGGCGGGCGGCGCCGACGGGTTAGAGCCGCCCCTTGCGGCCAATCCGACGGACTTCAGCCTCATGCTTCAGTGCCTGCACCAGTCCCTTTCCTTGCAGCAGGGGCGGGGCCATCGCCCAGCCTTCCACCCGCTTCTGGGGACCCTGAGCGACCAAGCTCAAACTCCGCCCGCGACCTCGGGCGACCCCGCGCACGCATCGGCTCAGATGGGGGGAATCGCTCGGAGGCGCGAGTGGCAGCAAGCGCTGATGCAGCACGGCCCCGACGTGCGAGGACTGATGAAGGAGAATTTGGCCCGCGTTCTGGGCGTGGAAGTCAGCGCCGTGACCCCCATGGCCATGCATCAGTACTTTCGCGAGCACAGCCCCCTCGGGGCTCAGCCGTCGACGCACGAGTTGTTGACGCATTTTGCCTTCCTCAGCGCCGAGCTGTGGCGGGCCTGCGAGGAGGGCAACCCCGAGAGGGTCCAGACCTTGCTGACTTGCCAGTGCATGTTCATCGACCAGTTGGCGGGGGACCGCGGCTACCTCGAGGCCGCTTGGTTCCTCACGGGGCTGGAGCCTCCCCCGTGTCGCGTGACCATTCGTCACGCGGAGCGCGAGGCCCAGGCCCCGTTTTCACCTCGCTGGCTGTCGGCGCAGGGCGAATACATGAAGGAGCTGCAAGCATTTCGGGCGCGCCTCGACGCCGAGCGCGCCGTCGCGCTCCCCAAGCATCCACCTCATCAGCCCAAGCAGCCCAAGGTCTCAAAGCCCCCCTTCAAGTCTCAGGGTGCTCCCAAGGCCCCGAAGGCGGTGCCCAAGAAGGACTGAAGATGCCCTTGGCGCCCGCCTTCTTGGAGGGGGGGCCTTCGCGTGGCCGGGGTACGCCGCCGCAGACAGTCTGCACCGACGCTGCTACGGCTGCTAGGCGTGTTTGGGCGCAGCGAGGGCGTGAGGGTAGGAATGCGCTCCTCCAGCGATGCTGTTGCGGC